CGGAGTTAAACCACGACAACTGCCAGCCCCGAAAATTTGCACAGGCTATAAAATCTAATCCATATCCCTCCCTTTTGCTTGAATTTTCAACAGTTGGAATAGAGTAGCAGGGAAACCTGTGCTTTTGAATAGACCTGTACAATACTTGACTTCCAATGGATCTGCAGAGGTTTAAGTTACCAAAATTACAGGGTTAAATTTACTGATGGTACACAGAGCAGAATGGAATCCAGCTGCATGGTCCCACAGGGCCAAGAGAAAATAATTTTAAAACTTTTCTTTTTGAATCTAGGAGAACTACAGCTGAATATTCCAAAAAATTCCACCTCTTCATCCAAAATTACAAGTCTTTTCAGATTAGACCATACTTGAATCCATGACATTTACCTTCACATCAGTGAAGTGGCTAAGCCCCTTTGTCATGCTATTTTGTAATCCTGAAACCAACATTTGAGCTTTATATCAGAAATAAAATGCTTCCATATAAAGATATGGAAACTAACGAATAAAGAGACATAAACCAAGAAAAAGTAAATTAAGGAAAAGGTAAATAAACCAGGACTCACATTTTCAGGCAAGGACTTGGTAATTGCACTGTGAGCCATTGGTTCAATACATAACAGATGGATGATTTCCCTCATGATAACATCTTCTTTTGTCACGTTACTCACTCCAGGCACATATCTTTCCCCTGCCAGAGTGAACCAAAAGGAGTAGAATGGCAAATATGACAGTTATAAAGCAATTTCGAATTTTGCACAGAGGTGATGCTATTGCTGGAGTATTTCATAGTCTAAGTTTGCATTCACCAGCAACCTATCCCAAATGCCTGAGAGGAAAAATGTTAGCCTTGCTTCTTAAAATGGGCTGAGATCGAGTTTTTCTTCATATTTTACTTTAATAGTCAGTTATGAACTTATCTAACAGCTTCTTTCCCTGTGCAACCCCTACTGCTTCCAGTTGATGAATATTTGTGTCACTGAACCATCTATTTAAATCAGGCATTCTCCAGTATCCTCGTCATGCCATCTATGTTAACGAAAGTCATCGAGCCTGTTTTGCAGACTGTAACAATCCATTACACAGAGAGAAATGAAACTTACCCACAACATAAATTAGAATCTGTAGCATCTCTTCTATTAACATGTTACATTGTTTGATTAAATCCTGCAAGAATCAGAGAAAACAGTTAAAAAAAAAAAACCCAAACCACACACACCACCACACACAGGCAGGAAAATCTGTCAAATGACACCGAGCTCAGCCTTCCAATACACTGCTTCGCTAAGCACTGCACTTTAAGAAGAAAACTTAAATTCTGACAAGCCAGAAACAAAAAGGGCCTGTGCTTGTAGAGAAGATACTATCCTGTAACTGAAGAGCGAGATTCACGTATGCCAGAAAAGGAACAACAGCTAAAAATGTATCCTAAATGAAGGGTTATATAAAAGTTCAAGCTTCAAGAACTAGTGCAACATCCAAGGAACTTCCAGTCAAACTAAGAACACATAATATGGCTTAAAAGACATAAATTTTATAGAAAAGTAATTCACATGGATTTTGGTAGATGCCTTATGAAATAAAGTTCAAAGACAGCAAAACCTGTTTATTAATTTTGAGTAAACCTCTACACATTCTAATACAAACTCATTTATCTAACCACTAGGTCCTGTGTAAACTGTCTTTTTGTGACCACACTAAAAGCCAGTCCTCAACAGTAGCTAGGTTTTCTTATTAATGTTCCATAACCTCAAAGCAAACAAATTAATCTCCAGACACACTTGCCACTTACCGGATCTTTGGTGGGCTTGATCTTTTTGAAAGCATCAGCAAGCTCGTATCTCTGCAGTATCAGCAGAAGGAACTGATTTGGGTCCATAAGAGATGCACCTACCTGTCCAAAACCAAAACTGATTTGAACATCAGTTTCTATTGCAGTTCTTCATTAATTATGAAAAAAACTCTTTTACCAAGATCTTCTTTTAAATCATACAAATTTAATTAAAATTAAAAGAGATTCCATGAAAATTTTTATGAGTCAAGCAAGCAATGATTCAGAACATCATACCTGGAGCATGATGATGTCTTTATCATACATCTCTTCTCTGCATTTAACGTCCTGATAGTAAAATACCTGAGAATAAGGAAAACAAAAATTAAGTAGAGAAGTAAGGTAAAGTAATGCACTATCAAATGCACATCAGTTAATGCTGGAGGCTTTTTTAACTGTACAGCATTTTTATTGAGTAAGGGAAAGCCTGTATTTCTTTCAAAACAAGTATGTACTTTGATGGAACTGAAAAAATGGTTTTTTCACCTATCCAGAGAAATTCTATGCTGTACTTCTTCACACCCCCTTCTAAGGCAACGGAATTCTAACAGCTGCCACTGATTAAAGTCAAAACAACCTCCTCCTCCTCCTCCAGTTCTCAGAAAGACAATTCTATGGAGGGCTATTGATATTTACTTTGATTTCACCAAAGGGTCCTGTGAAATGTAAAACCAGAAAACTTCTGCCATCAAAGGAAAAAAAAAAGGGGAGGGGGAGGGGGGCAAGCCATTCAGGCAAAATACAAGTACTTAAGGATTGACTCTTTCTTTTACCTTTACTCTTGCAACAAAAAAGCCCTCCAATATTCTAAAATGTTTGTTATGGCCAGTTATATGGCACTCAAAATTTTAGTAGGAGATTAAAATAGTTTAACTCTGGCACATAATGATTACCATAAACCAAGAGTTTCTTCTAATATTTTATAAGCAACAGTACTAACAGAACTTACGCAGTGATTTCTTTGTCAGATCTGAAAGTAGTTAACAGTAGGTGACAGTAACACTAACATCATTTCACAGAGTCAGAAACAGTAGTAAGAGATTAACATACTTGTCTAATATGGGGAGGCAAGACACTGATGAATTGGTTTTGCTTCCAGCTTCATCTAAATTCCCACCTAGCAACCTTTCTATTTAGTGTAGGATTGACTCCCATGGCCTCTTTCTACACTGGATGAAATCCCCACCGGAAGCATTACCAAGCAATACGTGCACACACTCTTAGGACCAACTCACTACTGAATATTGTAGGGAGTACCTGGCTTATCAGGGAGAGGCCATTCCTTCTCCACATCTCCGCAGAAACCTGAGCAACCAAGACAAGACATCGCAAAGGGTATTCTACTAGCAGCTCCACTTTAAATTCCTCCTGTGATTTAAAAAAAAAAAAGCATCAAGCAAGAGGAAGTCTGTCAGTGATTTGAAAAGTGCAAGTCCTAATGAAGAAGACACAACAACTGTAAAACAGCATGTTTGTCCTAAATTTATAGGATATAACAAGGCTTTTTCCTTCCCACACTCCAAGACACAAGAAGCACTGGGTGAGGGGAGTAGTAAAATCTTACAGGAGAAACAAACTCGTGCAATCTTGAGATGGCTCCAGTCTTGCTTAATCGTACATGAAGACCTATAAAATAAATAGGAAAACATTAGAAAATAAATCAAAATCAGTAAAGTTTCGCCTCCAACCCATTCTAACTGTTACCTAAATCATCTACAACTCAGAGAATTACAGGAAAAAACATCAAAGCTTATTTAGGAAAGACCTGTTGCCTTTTTTTTTTTTTAAAGACAGAAGATTACATTATCACAACAGTTCTTACCAGTCTTACAATCCATTATTTCATTAATAAATTGATTCATTAAATGAATTCATTAAAACCATTTATATGCTAAACAATATTAGCAACATTCTTAATTTCACATTTAAATCATGGCAGTAATAGAATTTCAAGACTACAAGGCTTAGATAGGATCTTGGTATCAAATGATGTGATAAAGAATCTACAGCTTAATAATAGCATATGATTTCATTTGTAATCTAGAGAAAGTGGCAGTCACCCACTGTTGTGGTCCTTTGTATTCTGACAGGAGACCTGTCCTGGAATGCTGCAAGCATATGTCTTTTAGGAGGAGCATTTTAACAGTATTAAGATATATGTGGCTGGAAAATAAATTCAAGATAAAGTAATAATCAACACTCATTTAGGCAAAACGGGTAGAAACAGAATGACACAAATTCAAACAGTCCAAAGAAAACTGAAGATGTCATTAAAACATGAAGTTTCCTTCTTGCCTGACTTTCTCTCTCTCCTGTATAAAAACTGTCCTCCAATCTCTATGGCAGATGTGAGTTTTTTGAGGAAAACTTCCCCTTAGCGGGGCATCTGGGGAACAGAGTTGCCTCATCATGAGAATGTCAGAATGTCAGAGAGTGACTGATCTATGAAGCACCTAATCTAAATGCTTTCTAAAATAAACAGAGCGATGGATGACAAATGTAATTCAAATAGCAATCAAAACAAACCACAACACCTACCAGCAAGGGTCCTAGACAGTGGTAAATGTATGCTGACAGGATCTGCAGATACTCTGTAAGGTCTGCTCTCCAGAGTATGGCCACACAAGTGAAACACTGTCTTTTCCCGTGAGCGGCTGTTTATGCTGCACCTCATCACAGCTTTATGACATTCTCTGTAGGCCCTGAGCAACAGCTCTTCCTAGATTTTAAAATAAATGCATAGCATAATATTTTTAAAAATCATACGTACACACTAAAATTCCTCACTTGCGTTTTCCGAAGGCAGAAACAATTTACTAAAACTCCACAATATAATTACTACTCTGCTTCTTAATACTGAAAAGTACTGGACTGGAGCAGTGGAGCATCCACTAAAGCTAACTGAGAATACGCTTCTGTTCAAAAAAGCTGCTCTGTCAAATGTTCGAAAATCTACATGCTTGTTTAAGCTGCAATATTTTAACATTTTGTACAGTTTGCACCCCAAATGGGATCAAGAAGCTCCTGAATTGCTGTAGTCTTCCTTTCTCTCCCTACTGAATAAAGAAAATACACTTTAAAATATCTTTAAGTTAACAAATTTTACAACTTCCTCCCTTCCCCCAGCACAGGGATGAGCTCCAGCACTGATTAAGACTATTTACAGTGCAATTACATAATTAATGCTAAGTTTCTGCAGTCCACTTTTGCAATTAAAAATCAACACTACGGGCTTCAAAGCCTTAAATCTCGACAGTGATGCCATGAACTAATTCTCAAAATCTTTATGAGAAGTATTTTCTCTTCATGATACTCTGTCAGGTAGAGGACCATATTCTTCAGAGATCCCTCCTCCGTGTCATACCACAGATTAATTCTTTCAGACTCCTTGTCAAGATCTGTATTGAACAATGGTGAGGGTTTGGTTTTTTTTTTTCTTTAAAGCTGCTATTTAAAAAACTCTCAGGAATATTCACAAAAGGCACACATGTAAGAACCCCAGACAGTTAATATACTTACGTCACAGGCGCACCACTCCTGGAACATGAGAAGAATGTTCTTGAGCTGCATCTGTATAGCAATAGCTGCTTCCCAGTCAGGGTCCACTTCAATGTGCTGACCAATCTGTCTTTTTATCTCCTCCATTCCCTGAATGGAGACGCCACAAAATACTCAAGCTATATCAGCGATCGCAGGCTTAAAACAACCCATGATCCCATAAGCAAATGGTAAAATATAGGTTGTTCAGCTACATGTAGCTAAAATTGATAAATATTACTTCTATAAAGTAAACATGACTTTTTTTCCCACCCAAGACTGGGACTGAAGAATTTACCAGCTTAATGGTATACTTATATACACAATATTTCTATGGACAAAAAGATTAGTGTATTTGGGTTTTGTGGCGTTTTTGTTATATTTTCTTCTCCCCATCCCACAAGGGAGAGGAGTGAGCGAGTGGCTGTGTGGTGCTTAGCTGCTGGCTGGGCCTAACCACGACAATGAGCAAGCAGAAGTGCTGTAATATCTTTGTACGAGCATATTAGAAAGAAACTGTTTAAATGTGTTGTACCTGCATGCACGTTAGAATCCTGAGGAAAGAAACAAATCCTTCTAAAAACCGCTCCCTCAGACGGTCTGTCCATAACGTAGGCTTGCTGACTAAGACATACCTGCCCCCAAAGAAAATATTATCATCTTTTGCTTGGATTTCTCTTCTGCTTATGCTTGTATTTAGTCTTCTTCGTATTAAAATAATCAACTGCATCATCATATCACCCTCCCCATCTCAAGCTCCTCTTAAAATTTCCACCATCCACCAATGACCAGTGTCAGTCACCCTCTCAGTTTCTTGGTGCAACTCCACCAATTGAAATGGACATATTCTTTAATTCCAGGGTATTTGGTGTGGTTTGCTTTTACATTATTCAGTTTATTAGTGTAATCTGGGACCTGTAAGAGTGGCAAATGCTACGAAGATTAGGATTACAAAGCCTTCCCAGAATGATAATGACTAGAAGGGCAAATCTTCCATACTGTTTTACAGTACATCTATTTCATTTATTAATGCAATTGCTATACGGACTGAAATCAGTGGAAATAGTCTTTATGGAATATTAACTTGGTATTTGAGAATTTTAAGTTTGCACTGAAAAAGAAAACAAAGTTTCCTGTGTGTTTTTTTGAGTGGTTTGGTTTGGGGTTTGTTTTTAAAGTAGTTTTATCATCAGATTCCTGAGTTGAAACACTTTATCCCACTGCTCATTTCCTAAGAATCGCTCAGGCTTGTCAGCTTTGCACTCACCTGAGGTCATATATTACTGCATATACCCGGTTCAGTTTGTCCTGACTGTAACCCTGGAAGCTGAACTTGTCATTTTTGTCTAGGTACTCTGGAAGCACTTCTAGGAGTGTCTCTGTAATGGTGGTGATTACATTTTGCTCTTCAATAAGATGCCGGGCCTGCAAGAACGAAATTTAAATTTTTTCTTCCAATTTTTGTTGAAGAGAACTGTCAAAATAATCCTTCCTTTGAACCCAGCCTTTTTGATTAGCAATTATTTTAAGCATTTGTAAAGAGTCCAAGCTACAAAAACTCCCATGGTATTTATTATGTATGAACACAGTTTCCATCAACTTAGCAGGTTTATTCACTCTGACAGCTTCAGTGTAGCAGACGTGCTATTTTTGCTAGAAAGATCACACAGAAAATGACTTTTACATTAGTATTGCAAGCAAGAAACACAGAATTTAAAACTTACAGGTATACTTTTTAACGCCCCCAGGATTTAACATATCTGATACGCACACAAAGACATTTAACGATGTTTTTACCTCCTCCCCTCCAAGTTTTTAAAGCTACTTGAGAGGGTAAAAGTGAACAGCAAATGAACACAGAGAGTTAATGCAGAGAACAATGCTGCCTAAACCTTCTAATTATTTGCATTCCCTCTATCTTCTGTAATGAATTTTCACAGGAACTCAAGCTCCTGCTTTCATGTGGGCCTTAACAAATCTCAAATAATTTATTTTCAACTCAGCAATGCATAAAGACTTTGCCAAGTAGAGGAGTCAGGAAAGGTGGTGCTGCTAGCAACTCTCAAATTTATTTTACTTTTCCAGCAGAGATAGGCTGTACATACCAGAGTAGGTACGGTGAACATCTGAACTGAGAGTGCTGTCACTGAGAGAACCCTGTCATGATCGTCACTGATGTATTCTTTTTGCAATGCCTTGTAATACTAGGAAGAGAGAACATTGGGGGAATGAAGTAAATAAAACAATTGTTAATTAAAAATGTTTACTTTTTTATTTGCAAGAATTACATCTCCAAGTCCTTCTTCCTTTCTAGTAGCAGTTCAAATGACAAAAAAGGCACAACGTCCTTAATGCATCCAAGCAATTAAATATGTGCCCCTACTGCCTTAATACTGAAGGTAAGCAGTAATTTTACTGTTCTGACAGACTGAAGCCAAAATAATCTTTCTCCTACAACCAAATCTTCCTCAAGAAAAGAAATACAACACCTGGGAAAAAAAGTATTAGTAAAGACATTAACTTATAATAAAACAAGTCTTCCTCCTGCAGTGAGCTGCATGGATAGTCATTCAACAGCTGTCTATAAAAGATGTGCACAACAGGTAACAATCTTTGCTTGCTTTGTTTCAGTCCAGAGAAATCCATTAAGTGTCAGTCGCTTTTTCAGGATTAAAAAGTCTCACCCTAAACCAAAACACACTTGGTCTTATGTTTTGTGTACCTCTTAACTCTTGTACCTCATTTTTAAAAGGAAGAACTACAACTGAAAATGGTCTCTCTTCTATTCCAAAAGGTACATGGAATACTAACAATACTGCATTCAAAACGGGCACACATACCTATATGATTATAAGGAACAAACCAATGACATTGGAAGTAATACACTCCATAAAGGCTGAGCTAGCTGTTGAAGCTCTGCCTGTTGAAGGTTTGGGGGAAATTTTGCAAAGCCAATAAAAATTCATAGCATAAAAAACAAATAACCATTTACCTTCACAAATTCCACAGCAAAAAGTTTTTTGTATTCCATTTCCATGAAGAAACTACTGAAGATAAGTTCATGAAGAACCTTCCTTGCCCCTGGGAAGAGCCAATACAATGCACATCACCTTACTGTAGTATGATGCAACATTTTTGTGGAAAAGAGGAACAAATTATTAAACTATATTTTAAAATCACCAAAGTCCTTGAAATGGTTGTAAAGTATATTAACAATTTTTTTCCCCCTATTTTTAACATTTACCAGTATGTATCCAAAACACAGGGTAAGCATCAAATCACTCACAGTCAAGCTACATCTGTGAAAAGATCCTTCAAAATACATAAAGCAGGCAAAACTTAGGAGGCAAATACATACCCAAAATATCAATTCTCAGACATAAAAATGAAGGCTGTATCAAAAAATGTAACATAAAACATATAAAGAAATATAACTTCACCTGCATAGCACTTGTTTATTTTTACACATTGTTACACACAAGAAAAATTAATTTGCCTCTTTGGTTTATAGCAGCATGGGTACACAAACCTTTATGAAGTTTTGCATCCCATAGCATCAACTTGCTTATGAAGCACGGCTTTTCAGATCCAGCTTCTTCTTTGAGACATATCTGACAAAAGATCTGACGAAAGTCACCTATAGGGATAAGACTATTCATCAGTAAAAGAATGCTTTGATAATTCAATTATATGAATCAACAAAATGAGAATTAGAGAATTCTGTTCTTGAAACAAAAGAAAAAAAAGAAGGCACTCAGGTATGAATGATTCTTAACGATGGCTCTTCTCAGTGAAGATCCTCCCACATACTCTCCCCTTACTAATTTCTTCCTATTACTCTTACCTACTTTATTTTATAAATCCAGTGATGCAGAAGAGCGTTCTAAAATGCAGAGCAATTAGACAGCTCTGCAAGGCATATCCATAAGAATATTTCACTAAGTCAGTACAGAAATCCATAAGCTAGGCAAGTCTAAACTGGTCCCTCCAAGTCACTTTTGTACAATTTCAGAATACTGTATTTTCTTCCACCTATTAGTGAACAGTACTTGCCGAAGCAGTTGTGGGGATCAACATGTCAGAGTAACCCACGGATTACTAACATTAAGAAATGAGTTCTTACATAACTGATTTCAAAAGGAAAAGTGGAGTGTCATGAATGAAGTTCTTGACAACCTGTAAATAAATAGTATTGAAATGTTTCTTGATTCGTGGTTCCACCACTTGAAGCAAAACCAGGAAAAGAACAGGAATCGCCAGATCACCAAGAAGTTCCAGCTGAGTACAGAACATCAGGTTCTTAAAGTGCCTACATATATAATCCAGAAGAACAAGGGTGGGAATGTTAGACTTCAATCTTTGTGCTTGAAGACTCTCATGAAACATATTAAAGTATCAGTTAACCTCTAACAATTTCCTAACCCAAAATGCTACACCTAACATGGGAGACCCCTTTTCAGTTTTAGCTTCTCTCATCAACTAAACCAGCAATGCTTAAAAACCTAAAATTCTGGGGATTTGCTAGGGTACTGACACCAACTTGTCTATACTCAGAGTCAACAGCTGAATAATTAGCTGTCAGCTGGTGTTTTAAATAGTAATCTCATAAATTTGAAAATAATAAGAAAAATTATCTAGGAAGAAACAGGTGGATAAAAACCCAACTTTCACTAGAAACCTTGAAATAAACCATGCCCTAGTCAAAAACTTGTACTGATTAAAAGAACTAAGGAACACAGACCAACAAGAAAATACCATCAGTGAAATATATGCAAAGTCAAAAAAAAAGAAAGATAAAATTTGTAAAGTATTCTAAAGAATTATAAAAAGGTAGAATTCTGATATATATAGTTCAATGGAAAAACTGGAAAGCAAGTGTTCAGAACAAAAGGTAAAAAATTCACTTTATTGTCCAAGCTTAGAAAGGAGGCTAAAGCAGTCCAACAGATTTCCGTTATCCAGGAGGAGGAAAAGCAGTGTGTAGGGCTTAATCTATGCGTATCTGTACGGTGAAAAGGAAGTTTATAACGGCTTTAGTTTGGCAAAACACAGGTATGACAAAACCCAGTAACAGAAATCAAAACCAGATTGATTCAGAAGTCGTCTTTAAAACCATGAGCATCAAACATCAGAACAATGCTTAAAGGCTTAAAATAGACTTGCCACTACTGAACAGATTTTTAAATTAAGACTTCTTTTTTGTTTATTTTACTGACACTGTCTAATTAATCACAACTATCAAATCTGAAGTAGGAATTAATTCAAGCAGAGGATGTATGCTTTCAGTGATGCAGGTGTTCTGCAGCTTTCCACCAGCACTGAAGAGAGCAGCTTTTAAGCAAAGAAGTCACTGAAATAGGGCATGTGATGCTGAAACTGAGTATAATAAAACTTCTAGAGGAACTGAAAGAGTTCAAGCAGAGAGAGACATTTATTTTAGCAAGAAGGAACAGAAAAGTACCACTATTCATAACCATGCACCCATAATACCGTATTACTTGTTAACTTATTAGGAGGAATGTGAACCTATTTTAATAAGGGAATATCATATATAACACTGCTGAAGATATTTTTTGAGAAATTAGTCATTCAAACACTGACATGGCATGATCATAACAAAAATCAGTTACGCTTACTTGAATAGCTCATGAGTTTTTTCAGCCAAGAACCAAGGCGCAAGGCAAACTTCTGGTGAGCCATAACATCAGCATGCAGAACTTCCACATGAAGTGGTCGTTGAGACACGTTTTCAGAATGTCTCTAGGAGTCAGGGAAATATAAGTAGATGTAAAACAAAGAAAACATGAATTTTCATATTTGTCTTCACCATCCATTACTTCTCCCAAGCACATGTTAATGGCAAACCCTAACAAAAAAAGAAACTGGTTTGACATTTTATTTCTGTAGGTATTTATTTATACCACATATGGTGGGGTAAAATCAGTTTCAAAGAGTTCACAGACAGGTTACAAATGCATGGAAAGTACTAAGTTAAAGACTGTCCAGCAGACAAATAAGCCTTCATTAATAATGATGAGGTTGAACTGTTGGTTTGTTTTAAATGAGAAAAACATTTTCAGAAGTTACCTTGATTTCTTCTTTTGCTTCTTGACAAGAAGCATAATGCCCTGCCTTAACCGCTCTACGACCCTGTTTAAAGAAAATATTGAGCATGAGACCAATATAAAACTCAATCAAAATGTCACAAGCCTGAGCCTTACTATGCTTTCTATATGTAGAAGAAAAACAGAGATGATCATCACTCATGGTGCTTTCAGATATCTAGAAGCAAATCGTAATTAACATAATTATCTTTAGAAGAAAGCTATTTTAATTAAGTTAGCAACAGAACAACAAAGTAAAGTCTGGGTATCTTAACATTATTAGACAACAAAAATTCACATACAAATTGAAACAAATGAGAAGGATTTCTGCAGAATGCTTCAAATACAAACCACATCAACCTTCTTCCTAGAGCAAAGCACACTCATCCTGAACTGCTTTTCTACAATCTTACCTACTATTTCTTACTTCTGTATATGAAATAGCAGGGTATATTATAAGCCTGGGTTTGATAGGTATTTCAATAAGGCCAAGAACAGGCCCAGCTTAGGCCTCAAATCCCACTCAACGGAAATCATAGGTATGGGCTTCCAAAACAAGTTCTCTACACAGCAGAATTTCACACAGGAGAGCAAGTAGCTGTTGCTGTGGAACTGTTATAAATAAAACAATACAACCTAATCCTGTACTGTAGCAGGTGCTTTGTAAAAACGAAAAGTCTGATCAACTCTTGATCTAAAATTCAGGTTTCAATCAAAAGGAACCTTCATAATGGACGCCTTTAAATCTTACTCTATAACCATGCATGTATATACATATCGAACAAAACCTGCAACTGCAGAACAAGACTTGTAATGAAGTTACCTCAGAAAACAGAAACACAAAAAGAAAACACAGTTTTTACAGATTAAAAAGTATTCTAACATTAGTGAGATGTTTTGTAAGTAAATATACAACAAATACATACACAGCTATAGACAAAGTTGTTCTGTGTGCAAACACGTTAAGTTTTGTACATTTGTGAGGTAAAAAGATGGTTGCAATTAAGATAATTCAAACACTGATCATGCTTCACCTATCCCCTAGTGGGGGGGTGAGGGGGAAATTACATTACTAGTGTAAGGTCTTTATATGGGACAGTAGTTTGAAAAATGTAGTACTTAAATTGTTAGGTTCACCCACATTCCTTCATGGGTTCTTCCTGATTTCATTTGCTTAATTTGAAGTTTTAAGATTTTCTCATGAAGTCAGAGCCAGACGAGCACTAACCCTTCCAAAATGTAAGGTATACTGGTTAAATATAACTGAATATGCATACTGCTGACTGGCATATTTTTCAAATACCATTGAAATCAAACATTAATCTCAGCTGAGAAAAAAGTAAAGAAAATATGCCAAACATGGAAGGAGGAAGTTCAGATAAAGCAGCTCTTTCCTTTCTCACAAAACTGGGGTTTTGTCCCAAGGAGAAAAATTAATACAGTTTAAAAATGTTCTTGAAGCTAGTGTTGATTGACGGTGACTCTGCAACACGCCTTTCTCCATCCTCAAGCTCCAGCATCCCAGAAACAAAGGTCCTATGATCAAGAGACTATAGTAGCACGTAGCAATGATTAAAAAGTTACTTTCTCCCATATCCAGAATGCACTAACCTCTTTATCTATGGCAGTAGTATGCAACTGGGCTTCACCGAGTTCGCAGCCAAGTGCCCTTTGTAGGCTATAGATGACATGATCGTAAGAATGATGTTCATCATTGAAAAGGACACAGTAGTAGCTGTCTACCTTCTCTCTACTGGAGAAAAGCCAACATAACATCATACAGATAAAAATAAAGTTGTATATAGTGTCCTATCCAATACAAGCAACAGCTGACTTGATGGTTTGACTGAATTGTGAAATACAAGAAAAATCAAGCATGTTCTCCTTGTCAAAGACAGTCCCACCATCTGTACCAGAAAAAGTCACAGAAACCACATACGAAATACAAAAGAGTTTTTAAGTTATTTGATTATTCCATTATTATTTCCTCTCCCTGCTGTTTTATGATCCTATTTGTCTTTTTTACATGACACACCACAGCCTCTTTCCATTTTGATGGAGCAGTCAAGACTTTTTTCCATGAAGCGTCAAAAGCTTTACTCCATATAACTGAAGGTCAAAAATGCTACAGTGCCCTTTACATGGGTTTGGCAGCAATGTTTGCATGAATGCAAGAATATCACAGGCAAAAAGTTTCTAACACCTTGAAGACAAAGTTGGAAATACGCCCTACCTAATTGTGAGCTCTGGAGGCAGTTCCTTCTCTTCTTCCCATATAAGCATATCTACAATGTACTTTATCACAGAGGGAAACACCCTCCTAGAGTGCTCCATAATTTCTTCGTTCAACTGACATTCAGAATTCTGTAAGACAGAACATTAATAAGAAATTTTTAAAATGGGAAAGGGGTTGGCAGTATACCTTCTTACTATATTTGTTTCAGGACACTAGCCTTTTCATGACTTTCAAGCAATTCATCTCACCTAATTTCTTCTTTTCAAATTATTTCATCCTAAAGGCTCTCAGAAGTATTCCAACAGTTTCACCTCCCATTTTTTGCACATCCAGTTTTTAAACTAGGAATAGACTACAAGAGGCCTCACCAAATGTCTTAAGAAACTTCAGTGGTTTTAAACTTAACTTTATAAAAGCTGGTTAACAGCATTCTGTACACCTGAAGCTATTAAAAGTTTGCAGCCCAGACCAAAATTCTTCCCCTGAACCACTTGCTCTTCTGCGTGGGTATGCTGTCAAACATTTACGACACTCCTTGAACAGAATCATCTAAGGAAATTTAATCCTGCTCTTTTCAGTGATACCATCCCAGACCTAAAAATCATTCAAAATATCCCTATGAACTTACATTTTTTCCATCCACCCATATAATATGAGCTCATTAGCAAACTCTCTAACATCATATAACATTATTAATCCTTTCCATACACATTTAAGTGTGAGAGAAATTAATGTTATTAGCCAAGAAAATCATTACCAAACCTGCACTTGCCAACGAAGCAATCAATATTCAGGTACAAGGCACAGATACGTTGCAACGACGCTGTGTGAAAAGAGGATTACAACCCAAAGGTCCCCATGACCATTTCCACACACCAACTTCCTTTCAGCATAGGCATATACAAATGGTATATAACATTGGTTTTAATGTTAACAAAACTAAATCCAGTAATTTCATATACAAATACAACACAGTAACAGAGCCTGATAATTTCTATAGAGTATTTACACACAGTTTCCTGTAATTTTAGGATCACCCAAACTGTCTACAAAATCTGAATATGCATGTGTTCGCCAGGGTGAGAAAACATGAGAAACAAATATGTTCTCCAAGAATAAAGCTTTCCACATATGACTTTTAATCCCGAAGTACTAAGGGCACTCCTCTCCGCAATACACAACCTGACATAAATATAAAAGAATAGAGAGAGAGAGATGTGTTTAATATAGCCAAGAATCATGGTTTTGAAAAGTTCCTAAACCAACAATAGTCACATTTATCCACTTACGAAGCAGATTTCTTTAAAAAAACAAACAAAAAAGTAAAATAATGTTGTGTCCATATGATGAAACAGCTAAAAACGTAGTCAAAGAGATGGAAAAATGTTAACATGACCAATTGCTTCCAAAGCTCTGAACAACAGTTTTCTGACCTGACAAGCATTAGAAGAATAATTTGGAGTCATACAATCCAAAATATCTGCCAATGAAATCATGGTCTATAAATATCACTGTTTACACATACTTAATTTTGGATAAGCTTATGGTAGATCTTGGGTAATTAAGAACTTAAGTGTCTGGGTTAATTATTTTTTCTCCCAGACTGACAAAGATATTATGAAATTTGGAGCAGAATGAAAACAAAAATTGTAGTGTAAAAATAATCTCATTGTACTGAGTTGCAAATATTTTTTTTCCCCCCAGTATTTCTTAATTTGGCTTTTTAGGCATTAACGTATGTTCACCAAAAATGACAGAGCTGGAGGACAATGCAGAGCTGGGCACAGAGATACTCCAAACAAGAACCTTGCAGTAAAACATGCTGCTGCCCTTCAGTCTGCAGAAGAAATCCAAGGAAACCACATCAAAGGATTTATATACTACTAAAAATGGGGGATTACACCCATATAAATAGAAAAAAGTTCAGTGATGCAACGATACCTCCAATGCTATCCACATTAACAGAAGTCATTGTAAAACGAAATTAAAATTGAAAGGGTAAAAAGAAAACTGCCACAGTACTATGCCCAAAAATGTGTAATTATTTAAGCTTCAGATAAAGCTTCAAAAAAACAAAATTGTGGAAGGATGAACAAGGTATGTTCAGATATCAAAATTTAAAAATAACTAACTACCAAATTTTTTTTTAAAAAAACAAATGTGCCTGGGAAGTATTTTTACCTTCTCTCAGACACAAATTCTTAAAAAGTTATCTGGTTTTAAGGATACATTTAGGCAAGAAGGTGTTGATATTTCTAGCACAGTGAAGACATTAATTTGGAACCAGTAGGGAACAAATTATTCTAAAAGCCTGGAGTGGGTATTCTAAAACAAAGGATTGGGTTTTTTGAGCCCCATCTTACATATATACCAACAAGTTTTGTAAATACTGTTAAAAGTTTCACTTTTTAACTAAGGTTTAATTAGTATTTTTGTATGAATACTCTATTTTGCAATTCTCACCTTGTATTATCTCAGAAATGCTAAAATTCTGGTGCTTGTCTTTAATGTTGTAAATTGAAACCTGTCCTCTACTAAGGGCTTGTTTTTAAAAGGGGTCATTCTGTAGATCAAACTCTAAACTTAATCTACGTTTTAAAAATAGCAGCCGGTTCCTAAGCCCATTTTTACTACGTTCTGCATAGCAGACAAGCATACTGCAAATGTATCCCTCTTCTTATTCACTCCTACCTGACCAGAGGAAATACATAAACACCCCAGATATGCCCTCTGCACTTAGAGTAATCAGAGGAATACTCATCAGGATCATCCAGAAGAGCGCTTTTTGTTTGACAAGCATATGACAAACTTCTATACTATCAGAAAACATGTTGGAAAAGAAATATACAAGATGTCTGTTCCAAATGCCCTTTGGAACTCAATTCTTTTAATAAGCACTATACACTGGGAAAATCTCTACACTATAAACTGTCCTTGATTCTCTAAACAGAGAACAAACTATGAGGTAATCCAAACATCCATGAGCCTCTTCATCATAAAAAAAAAAAGAAATCCCTGTTGAATAAGCCTTTTATTAATAAAGATGGTCACGCAATGTAATCCATCAAATAGTTACATCTCGTATATATTAATATACTGATGCGTTTCATGATTATAGTGGTTTTATTTCTGCTCTTTTTCTAGAGAGTCTACATATACTGACTGCATAATAACTACGTATTATTGACAACAAAGAACTTAGTAACCACTTCTTTAAATAATAGTCTAATTATGTGCTTTCAATCATTCACAACTATCAGGTAGCACTCAGTGTAGGAGTACGTTCTGGTCTGTTTGCCAGCACAGCTTTGGACTTGCACAATTCCATGACAAATGTGATGATCAAACAAATGCACTGCAAACCAACCACAGACTTTATCAGAGCTTGGAAGAGAAATATTACTCAAAGAGGCATGGGGGGTTCATGGTTCCTGGTTTCCTTATCCACCCAGGTATGATCACAATTCTTAATGAAGTCTAAAACCAAGAGATACTGTGTTAGCTATCATTAATTATATGATCTATCCTTTAACCTTATCCCCATTGGATAAAAATGGTCTGAAGAATATTCTGAGCATCTTCTCTTTATCCCAACAGAAATAAAATGCTGCGGACTCTGAATGTGTGCAGTTTCCTCATAAGCTTTGTTTGAATATGGTTTTGAAAAAAAGCCTGCAAAATTTGGACCAAGTGGCTTTAACAAGAGTGAAACAGCCTTTTGGTAAACTGATAAAGGTGTTGGTGTTTTTCCTAACTTTCGGGTTTTTGATTATTTTATTGTTATGAAAAAGCTGTTCTAAGGGAAAGGGAGATAAAAACCGAATATGCTGTCATATATGCAAATACCAGATCCGTGAGATCAAAATCTATTATACCTTGCAGAGGAACAGGTTCCCCAGCAGAAAGTAAACATTTCATAAACTGTTTTAGAGACTCAGCTCAGAGTTTTTGGAACAAAAAAATACTATTATTCTCAAAAGTAAAGTGCTGCAACAACTGTTAGGCAGAGACCTAAATTTTAAAGCTGGGAGATTGATTCTAGACAAAATAGATTCTATTTGTTAAAGCTCTTAATGTGCCTCACAGGTCCATATTCACTGAGCTACTACCTGTGGGATTTTTTTGCAAGCCATCACAGCTGAAATCCATCATGCATGCTACTTATCATGCATGCTACTTATCATCTGTAAGACAAAGTGGTCACTTGAGGCATAAATAGTATCACTTATCTAGGAACAATAGGGATGCTTTGGGTGGAAACACTGAATTTCCAAGTGGAAGAACACTTAATTGTCAACCGAGACCTGAAGACTTTGTCCATTGCTAAATTCTCGTTGTGACATGATAAGGAACTCTCAGCGATCAGCAATCTCATACTAAGCATATCCAAAGGCAGCTTTGAAGCTGGTAGACACAGGAGTTGTCTACCTTTCCATATGTCTATCAATAGTGCCAGGAATCTAGCACTGCAAAAGAAGGGAGAAAAAAGAAAAAAAAACCACAAACACACCACCAAACAACAACTATTTTCCTTCAGAACACAAGGAAAGGAGCCTTCCCAAAGAGGAACTGTGCAAGTTTCTTGCTCTGGAAACTCCCATAGAACATGCTGGGAAAGGTATTAAACACATATGTAGTAACGGTGACAGCAGTAAAATTAACCATACTGTAGCTATTTGCAGACATTCTAACACTGAGAAAACAATTTGGGTCTTCTCACTACAGGTTTTTGTAAGTAATATGTGTATCAGATGGCTCAGTACTCAGGAATAAGTACTGCACAGCAGAACAGACCTCACAGAAGCAGAAGCAGGTGAACATCAGTGACAAGCTCCAAGTAGTAATCAGATGACCCCTTCTTGGAGCTTCAACTATTTTTATCTCTGAAATCCATTAGAATTCATGGAGTTTTTTAAGGATTATCAAGTGTCTTATTTTTCTGTAAGCCCAGTGCTCTTTATTCCCTTTCCATTTGATTTTTTGCCAGATCATAAAAAAACAGTACTTTTGCAACAAAACCAGGAGGAATTAGGGACATCTCTGCAATGATGAATGAATGGTAAGGTCTTTTGTCCTGATTAACTCAGAATATAGGACTCAGGGAAAAAAACAAACATTTTTACCCAAAGCAACTGATTTGCCTATAATCTCTTCAAGAACTACTTGTATTTTCAGTTACTATGCTGCTTTATGAGGTGCAATAAGCATGAGACATCCTAGCATACAAAGTTAGCTTTAAAGCATAGAGACTTATTTTAGTCATAGTGATAGATCACACACTGGAAATAACTGACCAAAACCAACTTGTTCAGTAATGCAGTAATGTGGAAAAGAGCAAATACTATTTACATCAAGTACTATATCTAAACATTTACTAACCACTAGGAAACAATTATTTTTAAGTAAGAACTGAGGAATACACACAGCAAAGAAAAAAGCAAGAAACCACAACTTTCATTCTGAATCAAGGACAGAAATGTCTTCTGAGACAAGAAATGCCTTCTCGGAAATGTCTTTTGAGAAGACAAATGCACAGGGCAGGTAAATGGGACCATTCCATTGCTTTTACCTTTGGAGACAAAGGATGTCCCATATATATGTTTGACCCCAACAAACACCCTGACCAAGGAAATCCTGATTCAGCTCAACTGGACCTGCTACATTAATTATTCCTGTATATGAAAGCATGTATATTGTAGAAGTTGTTGGGGTTTTTTAACGCAATATTTACTCCTTCAGTTCCTTACTTCTTTTGCAGAACCTGATGCTCCAGGCTCATGTTTAGTACACATCGGTCCAGCCTTCCATGCCTCTGCATCCCCACAGTCACAAAATCCGCCTCCAGTGGAGCTGTGCATCTGCAAAAAAAACCCCATGTATTTCAGCCATGAAATATGCAAATAAAAAGCAAGAGAAAAATAGCAATGTGCATTATTTAGTTCAAACACAAGGATAAATACCTGCTTAGAAAACACAAGAGTCCCTGCATAAACCAATGGACTTGCCACAACACATTTTTATTGTTTTACATAAAAGGAGACTTAGGGGTGGGGCGGTGGGGAAAGTGTGTTTATAGAAAAGGTGCTTAATGCTTTCTTTAAAAGTTACTTGGTGAAGCCTGAATAATCTCAACAAGAATATATGTATATTAAACAGACGTGCAGTAGTATGTCCACACAATCAGCATCCAAATACATTCCTGCAACTTTAACTTCGCATGACACTTTCAGAAAAGCGCAAATTCTGACCCTTCATTTTGGCAAATAGACAAAATGCAGGCAAAAATAATTGTATCCTTAGTACTCTCCAAATCCCCAATCCTAAAATAATTATAAAAACACTAAGTGACCCACTAAAAAGACATTAAAAATGTGTTATTTACTCGAAACGTTTTAAAATAGCCTGATCTAATTAGACATGCTTCGAGCAGGGGGTTGAACTAGGTGACCTCCTTAGGTCCCTTCCAACCTAAATTATCCTACGAATCTCTAAAGAGCATAATCTGTATCTTTTAGATTGTATCTTTAAAATGGAAATGCAGCAAATCTGCTCCCATCTGACTACCTACTTCCATGGCTGATGTTTTGCCCGAAGGAGTTACTGAAAAACAGGGGAAGGACAACGGCTTCTCAGTTTAGCTGTAGATCAAAACTGCTCTGTAATCATTACTGTCTATTTTGCCTGGGTTTCATCTTGCATCTATGTAAACGGTGTGCGTGTGCATGTGGGTGTATATGGCAGTCATATTTGCATTATCTACTTAGTTCTGTAGATCTTTGAATCGGTACCTATAACACATTCTCAGATCAGTATACATAGACCTATACAGAGGGGCAGAACACTCTGATTTAGTCCCAGTTAATGTGAGATCGTTAGGACCTTCTTCCAAACTGCCTCTCATTGAGATGTACCCACTTGAAGGGGATTTATGACCAACTGATAATACAAGTAAGACAAGTATCACAAACCGGAGTCATGTCAGTGAATACAACGAGTAACTGAAAATAAAAAAAAAATCTAACCCACTTTTTGATCACGAAAGATAATTAAGTTGACTATATAAAGTTTCTGAACATTTTCTTGTCTCTTCCAGAGTTGGGCCAGCTAGAAAAAAAATTTGCATTTAAGATATTGTTTTCCATTTCTGCTTCCAAGGCTGCTGAAATTACAGAATCCTCAGTGAAGAGGAGAAGCGAAAAAGAGGGCCTGGGAAGGAAACAGTAGGTGACAGTTTAGGCACTGAGTTAGCTAAGAATTAGTTAAAAGATCCTTCTTTAATTAAAAGCTCGGGAATCTCTCAAAAATAACAGATTTGGCTCAAAGAGAACCAAAAGGATATCAGGAAGAGATGGTCCAGTTCTAGAACAATCTCCTCAATTAAAAAAATTATGCTTAACATTTGTTTTAACTTTATCATTGTGCCCCAAGTGCAAAGTAGACTATGACAATCTAACAGAGCAACAGAGTGGAAATGTAGAGACTGCCATCAGCGACGTAAGTACTGGAGTAATGGCTCTGTCTACACACACTCATTCTAAATTTCTAAACAGTACTGACTGGGACTCAGGACAGGACTGCCATTTTCAGTCACAGATTTTTGATCTGACATACACTTCCGTAGTGCCTTGGGCTCTTGAATCGGAAAGTTACTGTTCTTCAAAGAGACTTTACATAGTTGGAAACATGAGAAAGATAATTAACTAATTGCTAAAACCATATTTTACATTTTTTTTTAAATAAACATCAGTAATGGTTTATATGTAATTTATTATATCCCCATTTTAAAATCTTCTCTAAAGCTACAAGTACAACTTCTTAACACAAGATTTTTCTACCTTGTACCGGTGGTTCTTGTGAATGCTATTCTGGAAGCAGTCCATGCAGAGTACACAAGTTGGATCAACTGCACAGTCTCTGCAACAAAAATAGTAACTGGCAAACCTTCTAACACACACACGAAATTTTCATGCACAAAAGAAAACATTGCTCTGAAAAATCAGGATTAACAAGAGATTCAAATTATAAAAACACCAACTACTCCACATCACAGAAGGAAGATGAAAGCCAGCCTTGTACCACTTGACCCATGTATTCAAACCTGTTACATCAGACTGTATCAGAAACATGCCTGATTTCCACTGTCAAAACTTGTTGTTAACCTATTTCTGATTTGGCTAAGAACAAGCAGCTATTAAAAACCATGATGACACTGAAGTAACCTTTATTATTGTTTTCAACAACTGTAGCCAGTTTCCTAATGAAATTTTGCTACACTTCTGCTAGGCTGTTATCTCTTAACTTTTTAAACAGTTAGTAGTTAAAATCTAAAGAGAATTCCTTTATGAAATGAGCCAAGGAATATATACTGTGAAATTTACTTTCAACAGTTTCAGTCATGCACTAAAATATCTGAAAATCCATAATTACACTCATGGGCAATCTAATTCCATTTTTTTCTATGCTTCACATACATATATGCTTTTTTATATTGCCTTTTTTCCCCTAAAACAAGGTCTTTAAATGCTGTTTCATTCTATGCAGAATGTGGATGACAGGTGTTTAATGACAACATATCAAGTTTTTTGGTTTATGCCATTGTTAAACATCTAGTTCAAGCCTCTTGTAATACAACTAAAATAGTATGGTAATTTGGAATGCAGAATTAATTTTCTTTCAAACCTTTAAATGATAATCATCGTAACAATAAGTTATTATAATAAATTAATGTTAATGAAGTAGTAAATCTACTGCAAGGTGAGTTAAAAGAAACAATAAGCCAGAAGTACCTGCTAGATTTGAATGCCCAATTCAAGATATTTATATTTCAATATTTCAGAATATCTGTTATTTTTAGCATTTTAGAAGCCTAAGGCAAACATATATTTAGCTTCAGCTGCAGTACTAAGTACAGTATTTTGCATATTTCTGCACATTTTTGCAAGACAAGGGCAAAAAATAAGAAAGAGACCACCACTGAAAAATAGACTTTTGTCATTTTGCCTGCTATCATGGGAAGAACTCACAGGGGTAGGCACAAGATTATTCCTGCTACAACAGCACTAAACTGCCTTAACCATCCCTTCCCTTCATACCATCCAGTGCTGCATTCTCCATATACTTTCTAGCAAACACATAAAGAATTCTTTAAAGACCATTCTCCTTTTGTTCACAACACTTATTCCTAGAAAAAGCTGTAAGTGATTGATTAAAACCTTACAGTGTAATGCACAAACATACTTTACAGAGAGCTTTTATTTTTCAAATTCCTAAATTCTAAGAGCTAGACTTTTTTAGCCATAATATTCTTCATCCCTAATAATGTTCTTTGGTATTTCTGATGAAATTTTCTGGGCTCTTAAACTGAAAACTACAACAAACTAGGACAATAGCATTCCATTAATACTAACAAATTGCCAGCACAGTTGCAATCTTTACATCGATCACAAGGACCTCTGGCTTTTTAATATTAATATATTATTATTCATATCAATATACTTGTACTAGTATGAATTAATAAAATACATCAACTCAGTGGGGTGCCATCTTTAATGGATAAGAAAAATTTCTCATCCTGGATTTCTCCAGGATGAGAAAGAAGGTGAACAAATGACCACTGGCCACACAGCTATTGCTTAAGCAAAGGACTGATGACGCTCAGAAATACTGGGTTCTGTTGCAGACTTTGAAAGGGTGAGTTCTATACAGGGCACAGGCTTTTATGCCTGTTCTCTCTCAATTCATTTATAGGTCCCATACGCATACCCTATCATCCAATCTTTTTAACCAATGGCTTTTAGTACCTTTACTGTGCTTTTCATTTCCTTCCCCATTTCTCTACCAGAGCCTGCTTTTCACATGCAGTTTTTCTCACTCTAAAGTGGTTTAAAACATGAAGCAAATGCCACTGTCAGTTAAGCAAAGACCTACTGTGACACAAGCAATAACTAGTTAGCAGCATGACTAATTATATTAAACCACTTTCCTGCATTATTTCACATGGGAACATTCACAACATACCTTTATTCTTACCTGCAAGAGTATGTTGTCTCCCCTCCTTTGAACACCTTCCCACAGAGCTGGGAGGTTCCACTCTGTTGTAGTTTCTCCAGAAATACATCTGGGTCTTCCCCAAACAAATAACATTCCAGGGGGTATAATATTGCTGCCTGGACCATTTCTTCTTGTTTCTCCAGCAAGGGGTCCATTTCAGCTGAGTAAATATTTGGCACATGTTTTGCCAAGCACTGTAAAAACGTAGCTTGGAAGTTGAATCTTTCATCACACCACTGCAAGAAAAGTACACCCATGGATAAGCACAAATGAAGAATTAAGTTTACGGAAAACAGAATTAAGCACTTCTGCGAATCCAGAATTCTTTTCTGCATCAGAAGTAAGTTCTGCGAGCAATAAAACCCAAGAAGGCATGGTTTCCCAAGAATTTCTCCGCTATTTGCCCATCAGTACCCACCACAGTAACCTCTGTTCTCTTGAAGCCTTCTACTGAAACACTCCCGAGGCAAGAGTTGGCACGCGCTATGCTACTATACCGCAACCCCCACGCTAATTAATTTTCAACTACATGCTTGCCAACAGGCCAGCCAATGCACAAATCTTGATGTCTGTTCAGCTGCTGACAAATGGAAAGGGCAGCAGCAGCAGAGGGTTTCCCTGTCTTAGCTGGGAAATAGGTTTGGGATTTATTCCTTAGCCTGCTGATAGTCACGAACGTATAGCAACTTATCGGTCTTGGAAATTGCTGCCCTTACTATAATCTTGTCAGAACTGGTCATCAAGGTTCAACAGTCACTGAGGGAGAAAGAAGCCCAAACTGTTTATATAAGCTCAATGTCCTTGTGAGAACATACTAAAACGCAATTTCATATTTATAAAACAATTAATAAAAGTACTTGTGTTTTGGCTTGAGATTCTTATTTTCTTAAATTAAGTCCCTAATTTCACTTGCAACTACACTAGTTCTCTGAACAGTTCTCTCCAACTGCTCTATTTCTGTCCTTCAAAGTCTAAAGGATTCCTTCTCTCACATTTTCCCATTATACTGAAATACTTTTGGGTTTCCCCATTGTAAATCAGGTAAGTTTACCCATCAAGGTTTCTAAAGACACCCTCCTTTCATACACAACCTTGACTTACATCCAAAAATTTATTTTTGCAAGAAAAAAAATATATGTAACTTCACAAATATTACTAAAGGGAACTTTCTCTACGCCAGCAAGCTGAGAATGAATAAAGCAATCACCAGAGTTCGGATTGAGAGAAGGCTCAGTGTAACAGACTATTCAGCTTCTTAAAAAGATGAAAGTGCACATCTTCTGTGAAAGGCAAAAAAATCCTGATTTCTGACCTGAAAAGAAACCTCCCTCAATTGAATCAATGGATTGCCCCCCAAAACTGAGGCAGATAAGGGATTAAATAATACATCTATAAGGCCCTCTAGTTTACTACCTAGATTAGAACAGTTCTTCAAAAAAAGAAATTAATCTGGAACACATGCATCCTGAAGTGCTGCAATCCCAGCACTCTGGAAGCCAGAGCTGCAAACCTCATGAAGAAATTGCATATTTGTCTTCTGAAGGACTCTATGTCTACCTAATCTAGACAAGCACAAAAAAATGCCTACCTACAAAATCTAAGCAGAAGAAATAGAAATGAGATACCAGGATGAAACAGCCTAGACTAATATTAATATCCATTACCCAGAAGTAGTCTGTTAAAGGGGATTTGTTCCACATTGTAGTCAACCTAAACATTTGCTTTATGGCTTTAATAAGACACACTACACTTCTCATATGTTTAGTTTTAACCTGAGGCTTTAACCGATATTTCGGCCATCAATCTTCCTCAGACATTAATCTCCCTTAACATTACCCTTGGGTGGTTCACTGCTTCATTGATCATGGTCATCCATGAACTTAAAGCATTCAACTCACCCTGAAATATCTGAAAGTGAGGATTCACCCATTAAGTGAAGGGAACCACGTATTTAAAAACCTATTACTTATTTAAAATCCAGTTCTAACAAGAATTCTAGATGAAGAACAGATTTATGACTTGAGCAGTAAGCACCACCGTGATCACCATATCAGTCATAAAAGTTTTAGCGTACACATTCATGTTATAGATATGCATTCTGTACACATACACACACTCAGATATATAGGTATGTATTTATTTTCACATGTTCACAGTGCTGAGGAACTGTGAACATGTGAAGGAGACAAATTAGCTGATTGTCTTCTTATTTTAATTTGTTCAAATTTTTCAACTACCTAGCAACAATTTCTTTTAATCCAAATTATGCTTACCTGGGGCATAAAGACACCGAATTGTAAAACGCAACTGAAATTAAATCCAAATTTGTCAAATGCTTGCATAACAACACAAAGAAAAATACCACATTTAGCTGGGGGTTCTCAGAAAGATACCAAATCATAAAAGGTAACTGAAAACAGAATTCCTTGATCACATATGTCTATTTTTTTATATGTCTGATTTAAGATGAGTAGAAGCAAATTATTCCTATTAAACTCCATAATTCAATGTCCCTCCTTAAACATGTTTCCTCCCGCAACTTGTTTTTGGTTCTAACTTACCTATACTGCACTATGGCTTTAGCAAGTCCCCCTCCTGATTTGGTTATTGTATTTGTCCAGATGAGGGGGGAAGGGGGGGGGGGGAGATGACCCCTCAGCATGCCCTCTTTCCAAAGCTCAGGAGAATCCCAGTCTGTAGCTCTTCTATCTTAGTAAGTCACGTTCCCAAGAGATGGTGTAAGTTTAGGTTCTGCATTGTTGGAGCAGAGCACATCATAGCTTCAAGAAACACAGCGCTAAGCTTCCTGAAAATCTGCCAGAAGTGTAGAATGGGTTCTCACACAGTCTATCTCACAAGCATTTCAAGCATTCCTGTGCAAAGCTTTTATTTCTATTTAAATAAATAGAAGAGAGGACAGGAAGCAGGGAAGAGAGAGGGAAGGAGGGAAGAGAATTCTCTCAAGCAGGCTGGCTGCCTTCTGGTAAACACACTAAAATATATCCTCAACCTACACATCACCCAGGAAATATCTATTATATTCACAAGAGAAACATGAATATTCTTTTTCTTACTTCTAAAACCTGCACCAGGCTAAACTTCAGACCTATCCCATACCCTCCGTCACACCTAGAAGTAATGCATTCCCTGAGTCAAAACCTACTCACTATATTCAACTGTATAAAATTACACACAAAACTATCAAAATACAGAAGCTGCCAAATAAAGCACACCCCTGAAGTTAAGACTGACTGTCAACGTTTGCTTGCTCCCCTTCTGCACACATATTGAAATTCAGGTTTGAATACCTGATTAACACCTCGAGTAGTCTCACCTCCCCTCTGCTCACTCACTGCTTTACCCAAGCACATCATACCTGCCAAGCACACAGTTCCTACAGATAACGAACACCACAGGAATGCATAAATTGTTAGGTTTCCTTTACTGACCCGTGAAGAGGGAATAAACACTCTGTCATCGTCAGTTAAGTCCTAACCACCCTGTGCATGGGGATGATAAAAGATAGAAAAGCCGAAGAGCTCTGCAAGCAGAGCTGCGGCTCGCATTGCAGCTTCTGCCCAGCCCTGGCACAGGCTCCCTGAGCAGTTGTGCAGTCACCATCCTTGGATATACTCAAACGCCAACGGGACATGGTCCTGGGCAAGCTGTTCTAGGTGACCCTGCCTGAGCAGGGGGTTTGGACAGGATGACCTCCAGAGGTCACTTCCAGCCTCAGCCATTCTGAGACTCAAAAGCCTTCACCAGGAGGAATATTATCTCTTTCTCAACCTCTATTATAATCTTCCAGTTTCTGCTGCACGTAAGCCCTACAGAAGAGCCATTTTCCAAACTTGATTCCACTCAAGAATAAATTTCAAATGGTGTACTGCAAGAGGCAGAGGTCATGAGACAGCACAGTTAAGACAAAAACATTACCGTGTAACTGAAATACTGCTACTGGCCGGCTCTCCAGAGCCCGCCGGCACTCACACCCTGCTCACCGGGGCCCACCGGCTGTAGCACAGTTAAGACAAAAACATTACCATGTAACTGAAATACTGCTACTAGCCGGCTCTCCAGAGCCCGCTGGCACTTAGACCCTGCTCACCGGGGCCCACCGGCCGCAGCTACCAGGAAAGCCCAGAGGAAGCATGTCTGAATACACGCCGCTCCAACTGACACTATTCCACTGGAAAATATGTGGGGGCTGCAAAATGAACATTAGTGCATTTAGGAAAAAACCCACACCTCCACACACATTTGGAGTAAATTAAGGCTTCACCTCAAATTTTAATTTTGTCATTCCCAAACTCAATTTCTGAATACTGCAAATAATAATAGGAATCACAGCTAAGTAAGTATGTAAGAGAAAAAAGGTAACAACAAACTCTCTCAATTCCTTTTTCAACCATAGATCAAGCATTAAATGAGATTGCTCCCCACTGTGACCCAACTTCTTTATCGCTGAAGCAAGTTTATCATGTACATCATTCAGCAGCCATTACTTTCATGGCAGTCTTTGATTTACGTTCAGGGCACAGTTCTGTTTGAATTCTGAAGTCTTTTCAAACTAACAGTTTGCACTAGGCAGTACTATAAAAAGCAGCTCTACTTTAACTACACTGATTGACAGGCTGATCTTTTAGTGCCCAAGTGACTGCATAAATATCAAGACTATTTTTAGACATATACATTAATGCAATCAGTGAAAAGAAGTAATATTAATATTTATAAACAGTAAATAACAAATTATGGAGGAATAGGCACTGACAGCAGCACAAACTAAAACCTGTGCCTGGGTCAATATTCCATTTTGAAGGAGTAGTAACAAAGCTTAGTTTGTGCATGAGATAAACCTGTCAAGCATGAGCTGGCAATACCAGCTGCCTGTCAAAACAGCTGGTAGAAGCAAGATTTCAAAAGTAAAAACATAAAATGCTGGGACATACTGATTTCAAGCAAGTGCCATTCAATATAACTACCCAATGCAAAATGTTGCTTTAATGCACAGAACAGTTGTTACTAGTTAAACAGAGATTAGCAGAGCAACAGAACCCAGAAAACTTTTATTCTGATGTTGTCTATCCAACTGAGCAAGCTTAAAAGGCATTTTAAAAGGATAAACACACACACGATCTTTGCAGAATACTTAAAA